CTTCAGAATAATTTTAGAGCAGAAGACGTGCTTCTTATAGTAGAAAAGGAGAAGAAGAAGAAGTTTTTCTCTTATCAGTGCAGGATTCAGTCATGAGATTGTTGTTGTTAACGACAAGGTTAAAATAATTCGAATAATACATGCAAACAAAAACAACAACAATAACAACACGAAAAATATTTTTAAATGAATTTATACCGGAGAGTAATTACTTATAAAACCGCCATCTTCTTATAATTTTTGTTTTTGTTAGAACCGAACACACACACGCGGTTCGCCATTTTTGTTTTCCTTTTTTTTTATAGGATGTTTTACTATTAGAAATTTCAAGCACGATTATAAAAAAAAAAATATTCACCGAACGCTATGAACGCAAATAAAATAACTGTCTGACGTAAAAAAAAAAAAAAAAAAGAAATAGCGGCAACGATGATGATGATGATGATGATGACGAAGACGACGAAGATATTCAACATAAAACTTTTTTGTTTTTTTATCTATCATAATGAGGGTCATAACTTTCTCACCTTTTTCTTTCTTTCTTTTTTCTTTTTTTTTTGAATCGATCGTTTGTTTTCATCGTCTGCTCACGGTATCAGATTGTTATTGTCTTTTTCTCATCACTCAAATGATTATTTCCTGTAAAAAGTTTTCTCCCTCTCTCTCTTTTTATTTCATTATTTTATCGAATCTTTTCGTTCATTCATCTTTGCACCAAAAGAAAAATGATAAAAAGATGAATTTAATAACAGAAAGTAATAAAATTGTTTTGTTTTTAAAAAAATTTGAATGTTTTCAATCCGTATCAATCGATCAATCAATCAATGAATCATTTGCTCGCTCGCTGGCAAGAAGAAAAAAAATTAAAAATTCACCACTAGATCAAATGAGTTATCCTTATTATTATTATTATTATTATTATTATTATTTCCGACGTGTTTTTTTTTTTATATAGGGAAATTATTGATAATTCGTCAACCCTGAGATTTTTCTAGAAAAAAAAAAAAATTCGAATTCACCCTTAAAATTTTTTTAAAAATCGACAATGGAAACAAACGAACCCGGCATTTATAGTTTTTTTTTTATTTCTTTCGTCGATTGTGGTTTGTTTGTTTGTTTGTATGCAATCGTTTTATGAATTTTAAAACGTCACACCTGATGACATCTACGCAGCTGTGACATTCAAAATAGTGAATACGGAGTGAAAAAAAAAAAGGAAAGGAAAGGAAAGAAAAGGAAAAAACATGCGGGACAACATATGAATATATATATATTCAACCGAATTTAATTGAGCGACTTCGTTTTATTATCATTATTATCATTATCATTATTATTTCTTTTTTTTTTTCGAATACGAAATGCAGGTCGTTGAATTGTCGTAGTCATGAAATGGTTGTTGAAAAACCACGATACCGGAAAAAAAAAAGAAAACGACTGGAAAAAATAAAATTTTTGTTTGTTTGTTTGTTTGTTTGTTTGTTTCTTACTTACTTATTATTATTATTATTATTATTATTTTAAAACCTTGTTTCTTGTATTCTCTTGCAAAAGGTAAAACTGGATTTGAAAGAGAAAAAAAATCAAAGTGTTGCAATTAAACGTTTTTAATAAATAGAGAGAGAGAGAAAGCGGGTAGAGGGAAAAGGGGAGAGAGAGAAAGAGAGAGAAAAATCAAACGACTGGTTTTCATGTCAAAACTTACAATCTTCTTCGTTTGTTTGTTTGTTTTCTCCATGATTGTCTCTCGACGACGCCTTTTTTTTTTAAAATTTATCGTTAAACGTATTAAAATACGTTGATTATTATTATTATTATCATCATTGTGATGCAACGCATATGAATTATTTAAACGCGTCAAATAATGGACGAATATGACGTGGGATTAATATTATCGTCGTGTTCTCCGTCATTTCGTTTCGATATTTTATTCCAGATTATTTTGGAATTTTCATTTCCAAACTCTTCTCCCCACTTCCGAAGGAAAAATCGTCGACATTCCTTTGATTTTTTTAAAAAAAAATCATTAAAACCTTCGGATTCATTAAAAAAATCGAATCTCATTTTGCAAACGATTAATTATCATCATTATCATTATCACTGCAAACTTTTTTTGTATGCGCACATCATTATTATTAACATTAAAAAAAAAAACCTTTTACGGGATGTTTAAATTAAAACCTGCGTCATTAAAATAAAAAAAAAAAAACTTGATTAATTCGATGCGTAGTTTTTCCTTTTTTTTTTTTTCAATCATCTGCTGCCACGATTTTTTTTTCTTGCACAAACGAAAAGAAATTTTTTTTTCTTTCGTTTAATGAATGTTCTTGTGAAAAAAAAAATTGATTTTTTTTAAATTTAAAAAAAAAAAATTTTCAAAAAATGACAGATTGAGAAAATAGTATTTAGTACTATAATTTATAGCACTTTATAGCAATTTTATAGTGCGTCGTTTGGAAAAAAACGTACGAATTACGTTAAGAGTCGTCGACTCGTTGGAAAATGTCAATCATGAATACGTAAGAAATCTAGGTTTTACACTCTTACACAATACTCGTCGTCATTTTGTTACATTTTGGCTTAATTTTTTTTTTTCGAAATTGCAAAACGCTAATAATAATAATAATAATAATAATAAGGACAATTAAAAAATCATCAAAAAATCGTCAGAGAAATTTTTGGAGTCGGTCGGTGACAGAAACAAAAAAACGACCAAAATCTTTTCACCAAAAAAAAATTTTTTTTAAAACATCAATTAATAACGTTATTAATGATAATGATGATAGAAATAAATAAACTAGTTTCCGGTTTGTTTTTGAGTGTCGCACTGGACTTTTGCCGTCATTTTTAAAACTGATAGTTTCTCTCTCTCTCTTTCTTTTTCCCCTTATCATCTCTCTCTCCCGCACGCACACTCCGGTTTAAAAAAAGCCAAGTCTTTGAACTTTCTACTCGTGTTAACTTTTTAAATACTTTTTCTAAACCGGAAATTATTATTTTTGTTTTGTTTTGCGACACAAGCGGAATCGAGTTATTATTATTATTAATAATTGTTGAACGTTGGCATGCATTTAAATCGAAAAAAAAAAATTTTTTTAATATATTTGCCTTTTGCGTATATACCACAATTTTCACTTTTTTTTTTTTTTTTTGATACCTTTTAGGCAATTTAATGATTAATAGAAATCGAGGAAGAAGGAAGTGTGGATAAGAAGAAGAAGAAAAAAGAAAAGCGAATATGTCGGGTGAAATGTTAAAAAAAGAGAGAGAGAGAGAGAAAAAAAAAATTCTGGTTTGATTGGTGTAATAGTTGTTGTTGTAGTCGCCGTAGTAGTTGTTCGGGAAAAACAAGGAATCTAATTAATGAGTTTTATTTATTACAAAAAAACTTGTTTTCGAAAGGTAAACATGGGATACATTGTGTTTTTTATTTTTCAGAGAGAATGACGAAAACATTTGTTCGTAATGAAATGAATTCGAAGTCTGGGGTTTTTTTTAAAAAAAAATTTTTCCCGCCATCGAATTCGAAAATTTTTTAAAAATAATCATATCGATTGAAACGTGGCATTAGTTAATAACAACAACAACAACGTTCACTGTTGAATAAGTTTAGAAAGTTTTTTTTTTTTTTGTGTTTTTCCAAAACGTAATTATGTCAAAGTCATAGTTTTTCCAGTAAAAAAAAAAAAAACCTGGAAAGTGACCACAGGTATGGTCATTTAATTTAATTTTTTTTATTTTAGACTAAAATTCGAGTGAGCCGCCATTTTTATTATCGAAAAAAATATCGAATCGATTTATTTAAGTTAAAAAAAAATAATAAAATTTATTTTAATCAATCGAACGCTAACGAAATCATATTAAAATTAACTCGATGATTTTAATCAATGATATTAATAATAATAATGATGATAAAAGTCAATAAGCATAATGATAAAAACTAATAAAATAATAATAATAATAATGATAATATCAAAACACGCGCACGAATAACATCATCGTAGTTTTAGAAAAACCAAAAAAACAAAACAAAGAGATGAAGTTTTTTTTTTTTTTTTTTTTTAATTATAATTATTTTGTTGAACCCTTTTGTCTATTGCCCCCACCTTGGGCCCGGGTTTTGACGTTTGGTTCAAGGAAAGGTTATTTTTTTTTCCGTTAACGTCCGGAATTTGTTTTCCCAAAAAAAAAAAAAAAAAAAAAAAAAAAAAAAAAAACTTTGAATTCGGATTTAAACTTCAGCTTGGAAAATTAACAATAATGGTATCGGGAAAAATTTTTTTTTAAAAAGAATTTATTAACTCGAACGCGTGAAAAATGTCGTGGCAATAGTAGTAGCAGCAGGAGCACCAGGAGGAGCGAAATTTTTTTGCACTTAATCAATCATTAACGAATTTTATTATCATCTAGACGTTAATAATCGTGAATCAAATCGAAGGAAATCCCTTTTTAATAAATAAATAAATTTATTTTTAAATTAATAACAACAACAACAACGCATCACACACACGATGATGATGATAGATTTATTTAAACAATCGTTTGTACGACGTTTGTTGCATGCAACGTTTCAAAAGTTGATTCACACGTGCTGCGGGTTAAGGGGTAATAAAAATTATAATCGTTTTTTATTATTATTATTATTGTTGTACGATAATCTTTTTTTTTTTTTTTTAATGATTTACAATACGAATGCAACGCTGTGAAAACCAAACGGCAACAATGTCAATCGGTCGTCGTTTAATCATTATTGAAAAAAATAAAGAGAAGAAAAAGTCGATGGGCGTTCGTACCACTTTCGCGTACATTGTTAACGTTAACAAACTCTCGTATAGCCTTCTTTAAAAAAATTTTTTTTTTTTTGTTTGTTCTACTCAGGAACAACAACAACAACAACAACGTCGACGTCGTCGTCTCTCAATAGTAGGTCAAATTCTTTTCGTTTTAATTTATTATTCATATTATTATAACATAAGCTAATCATTTATAATGAACGAAAATCAATGTTGTTTGCCGGTAATGGTAATCGGAGCAATTTAAGAGTCCTACCGTGGTTCGTGATTAGGACAGGTAAAAATCGAACGAGTTGTCTGCATGACGCGGTAATGATTTTTACCTTACATCGGTCAAAGTAGTGGTGATGGTGGTTGTGGTGGTGGTAGTGGTAGTGGAGGAGAAATTTCATACGTAGACATTTGCCAAACGTTTGTTTTTTGTTGGTTTTCATATAAAATAGCGCTATAAATAATTTTCCGTTCGAACGAGGTTAAACAATCGAAATCAATATTAAATGCGCAATATGGATGAGGATACCTAATAAAATTTTTTTCGTTTGTTTAAACTTTATCGTGCAAATAGATTTTCGTAAAGGGGAAAACGGTGGGGAAGAGAGAGGAAGGGAAGGATGATGTGGAAGCAAAAAAGTTAAAAATGGCAAAAAAAAGTTGGCTGGTTTCTTTCTTTCTTTTCCCGTTAGTTGGTTGTGCCCTCTTTGCACATGACACGAGTAGGTTTAGGTTTGTTTTAGCGTATTATACTACCTAACAAACGCGTTGTTCAGTTTTGCTCTTGTATTCGTGTGACGTGGTCGATGATTGAAATTTACCGTTTTTTTTTTTTAAAAACATTATCATTATTTTTTTTTATGTTTCCTTGCAAGCGGGTGAAAGTAACTCGACTTTGATTTCTCGGTGTGGAAGTGATTGAAGACGTGGAAGGAAAAAAAAAGTTTTTTTTCTTTCGACACGGTTTTTTTTTTTTAAATATTTTTTAAAGTGTTTTCGTTTTGTTTTGGATTTTTACAGATACGTCATATGAAAAAGCTTGTAGGAGAGGAAGTGCACCGGCTACTCCCGTTTTGGGAAACAGAGCTTTGGAATTAACACCCTCGAGAATCGTGGTAAGAATCAAATTTTTTTCTACTTCCACTTTATTATAATTTTTTTTTTTTTTTTTTTTTAATCGTTCCCCGTAACCCAATTTTACCAACAAAAAAAAAAACTTACACGTGTGTTACTGACGATAAAAAATTTTTTTAAAAAAAAAATCGATATCTCGTTCGATACCAATCGAGTGAAAGGATTTTATTCGTTTGTATTCAAAGGACAAACAACAAATCGTGGAAATGTTTTTTTTCTTATCGATACAAATTTGGAAAGGGAGACGAAAAAAAAAAAAAAAAAAGGAATTTGAAAAAAAGAAAAATCTTTTTACGTGACGTTTTTGCATTCGCGATAAACAAACGTTTACAACAAACGGAGGTTTCGGAGGAAATAATAATAATAATAATAATAATACGAATCGGTGGCGTGAGAAAAACCAGGTGAAACATCGTAAAAAAAAAAAAAAAAATTAGCCTGATTAATATAAATATATTGAATTTTTTTTTTTGTAAACACGAAATAAACTGACCGACATTTTACAATTCGTTTCACTATTATCATTATTATTATCATCATCATCATTATCGTCATCGTTAAGAAAACATACGGATGCACACGCGCGGAGTGTTTTTCGTTTTATTTTGTAACATTAATGAAGGATGGAAAAAATATAATAATAATAATTATTATTATGACTATTTTACAATTTGGCAATTTCATTATTCGATATACCTTAAAAAAGGGAAAAAACTTTTTTTTTATATAAACGATTAGTGTCAAGGTCTAGTGACCGTTTGTTTGTTTGTTTGTTTGTTTCCCATTGTTTATTACAAATAAATTTTCTGTTTTCTTTTTTTGAACGTAATCAAAAATATCAGTTTTTTGGTTACGTTCCCAGAATGAGAAAAAAACATCGTCATCATTATCATCATCATTGTCATTATTATTATTATTATTATTACGATCGCGCTCTGTGAAAATATTAGGTATGAAAATGTGTAAACTGCGGATTTAAAGAGTTACGCAACGACGTTGTTTATTTTCGTATTGAATTATTATTGTTTAATTGAAAAAGACATTAAAAAAGAAAAATCTGCCGCAAATTTTTGTTTGTTTGTTTGTTTGTTTTATTTCTATCTCACGCGAGTATTGCGTTGTTGTTAGTGCTGTTGAAATTGTTGGAAAGTCGCGTAATTTTTCTAATTCCCCGAATGTTTATTAATTGTTTGTTTAAATTTTATATTATTTATTTTTACGATTTGGTTGTTGTTGTTGTTGTATTTTACAATCGCAATTTTTTTTTAAAATCTTACACGCGTCGAAATTATAATTAGAACAAACTATTGTAATAATATTATTATTATCATTATCACTATCATTATTATTTTTTATCAGTAATCTTTTGCATGTGTGTAGGATTTCGACATTTTTTTTTTTTAAATACACGCGCGAAAAGTGTTTTATGTGAAATCATAAGTTTACTATTATTATTATTAAATTTTCATTGAATTTTTACATTCGTTATACTAATATCAGTTTTATCGTCGAGAGAGAAAGAGAGAGAGAGAGAGAGAGAAACAAACAAACAAACAAACAAAACATGGCGTTTTCTTTCATTGTCAAAGTTTCGGATTTAATTCAACAATAAACGTGAAATGGTTTTCTCTCTCTCTCTCTTTTTTTTTTAAAGTATTCACTCAATCATTCGTTCGGCCGACCATTCATTCATTCATTCATTCATTCATTCATTCATTCATTGAATAGCGTAGATGATTAAAAAAAAAAAAAACGATGGGAAACAACGTTAATGACGTTCGGTTGTGAAATGAAATTTAATAAAAAAAAAATTGTCGTTTTAAATTTAGTACCACGTCACATCGGGTTAATAATCTCTCGAATCTCGGACCCCCGCAAAAACAAACAAACAAACAAACGAGAGTACACACAACGCAGTGGACAAAAAAAAAAAAAACATAACAAGAAAAGTTTTAAAGAAGAAAGAGAAGAAAGATGTTTGAAAGGTTAAAAGTGATTAATTAGTTAATCATTAACAGGAAGAAGAAGAAGCAGAAGAGAAAACAACAACAAGAACAACCTGAAATACCTTAACGCTTTTAACGAATATGTTTGTGCCTTTCTCTTTCGCGTTTGTATGTGCGCATACGCAAACACTTATACTTTTCGATTTAGTCTGTGTGTTTATGAACTGTTAATCGGTAAAAAAAAAAGAAACGAAAAGAAAAAAAAAATTAATTTTGCGGTGACATTATTATGTAGCAAAACGTTTTTGAAAGTTGTTGTTGGCATGTTTGTTATTTTTTTTGTTTCAGAATTTTTTCTCAAAGAGGTCGTTTCGATCGAATCCGTTGAAAAGAACAAAAAGTGTCACAAAGCTAGAAAGAAAACGAGTTGTAGATGGAGAAGGGTAGGTTTAGCAGGTTTTTTTTTTTTTTGTTATGAGCGAGTAGTACTCGCAACAACAACTCGCTACGAGTATTTTGTAATAAAAATACTCGAACGGAGGCAAGACAGGGACGGGGGGGAAAGGCATATGAATCCAGGAAACGAGGGAAAAACTCTCGCAAGAGAAAAGTGTCAATAGAACAGGTTGTTAAAATTAATATTTTTTTATAAATAAAATTAAACTTATTACAGAGTTGCCATTCCACCGAGATTACGGACATCAAGGTCTCACGAATCTTTATTGTCCGGTCAAAGCGTGATGCAGACCATGGATTTGGGTACGGGTGGAATAGAGATAAAACCTCTTCATCCCTCCGTTTTAGGGAAAAAACATTGTTTTCAAATAAGTTTTCCGACGGGAAATCCAAGATATTTTTCCTGTCGATCCGCTGACGAAAGAGACAAATGGGTTCACAGGTAAAAAATTAAATCCGCGGAAGCCACCATTATTTAACGTCAAATGAAAAAAGAAACCCTGTTGCATTCATCATTTTTATTATTATTATCATTGTATAAAAGTGAGGTTTTGTGTTGCATTCAAAACTTTTAAAAAAATCTCTTTACCCTAGATTTCTTTCTTACTATTATTATTTTTATTCCCTTCGTTTTTAAATACAAACGAGTATTATTATTATCGAACACAAAAAAAAAACGAGTATGACAGTTCGATACCTCATTAGAAAGTTAGTGACGAGTTTTTAAAAAAAAAATTTCTCCTTCCGGGTATTTTGAAAAATAATAAAAAGAAAAATGGTCGGTCAAATCATTAATGAGTTTTTCTCTCTCATCATTTTTTTTTCCTGTTTCATCGAACAGTTTAAGAAAATCCGTTCAACCGGATCAAGAGCACATGAGAAGGAAGGACAATTCGTTGAAAATATCAATAGTCGAAGTTAAAGGGGTTGCGAACAAGAAAAAATATTTTTGCGAATTGTGCCTGGACAAAACTTTGTACGCAAGAACGTCGGCAAAGCAAAAAGGAGAAATTTGCTTTTGGGCGGAAAATTTTGATTTTTACCAGCTTCCGCAAGTTAACCTAATTAACGTTAATCTATTCAGAGAAGCGGAAAGGAAAAAGAAAAGAGATAAAAACGTTTTGATCGGTACGTATGTAGTCGGGTAGCGGTGGTGGTAGTACGTCGGAACGAAAGGAAAGGACGCAAGTAAATTATATTAAATTGGGTCGTTTAATGATTTTCAGGTACGGTTAACATACCCGTGCACGAGGTTACGTCGAGATATTACATTGAAAAATGGTATCCGGTGAAAACGGAAAAAGGATCTAAAGAATGTCCGGCTCTGAGAATAAAATGCAGATTTCAATCCGTCGACATATTGCCCCTTCACGTGTACCAAGAATTTCTCGATTACATATGCTCCGATTATCGTCCTCTATGCGAATTACTCGAACCCGTTATAGGAGTCAAAGCCAAAGAAGACATTTCAACTGCTCTTGTTCACATAATGCAAAAACAGGGTCTTGCCAAAGAATTTTTATCGGACGTGGTCATGATGGATATCGATAGGATAGGTAAGAGATTGTGATGGAGTCATCTTCATCGTCATCAAAGGCTGTAAAAAAAATTTTTAAAATGACCTTTTTTTTTTTGGGGTTGTATTTCAGATGACGAAAGGCTGATGTTTAGAGGGAATTCGTTGGCTACGAAAGCAATGGAAGCGTACCTGAAACTCACAGGAGATAAATACCTACAAGAAACACTCGGAGGTTTGGTGACACACGTACTTGCTAACGGTCAAGATTGCGAAGTGGACGCTGATAAAATGAGTAATTCGGCAGCTCTTCAAAAGCAACAGCAAAATTTAAGATCCGCCGTTGAAATGGCATGGTCGAAAATAATGTCTTCGCATACCTATTTTCCAACGTACGTGTATTGAATGCTTATATTAATCGAGAGAAACGAACCCGAAGACAACAAACAATAAAAACAACAACAAACACAACAATCGTAATAAATAAATTTTATTTTTTTTTTTTAGGGAATTGAGGGAATGCTTTGCAACGTTCAAAGAAAGATTAATCGAAATAGGAAGGGAAGATGTCAGTGATAATTTGATATCAGCCTCTATATTTTTGAGGTTTTTATGCCCGGCCATTTTGTCACCGAATTTATTTAACATAACACACGGTAAATTTATCATTATTATTATTAATTGTTATTTAATTACGCGGGAAGTAGGAGGGAAGGGGAAAGAAATTAAATGAAATGAAAATTGATTTTTAAATTTTAAATCGCACAATACAAAAAAAAAAAAATTAAGAAATTCAACAACGCGTCACTCATTACGAAATTTTTTTTTTTTTTTATCAGGATCTAAATTATTACGCAATGATAACGATTGCGTTTTTTTATTTACGCATCGTTGCGTATACTTCGCACGCAAAAAACTTATTAATAATAATAATAATTCGTGATTTTTTTTTTTTTTTTTTAATATCCAGAATATCCCAACGAAAAAGCAGCGAGAAATTTAACGTTGATTGCCAAAACCCTTCAAACGTTGGCTAATTTTACAAGGTTTCAGGGAAAGGAAAGTTTTATGGAATTTTTAAATGATTTTCTGGAGAAGGAAGCACTTTCCATGAAGAATTTCCTTCAATTAATTTCTGTAAGTAAAATTATCATTATTAGTATTATTTGATCAAGGTTTTTTTTTTATTTTTTCAAATAAATTATCATTATTATTATTATCGTTATCAAAATCTATCGAACTGGAGAAAAAAAATTTTTTTTCTTTCTTTTTTTCCCTTTTGTGTAGACTCGATCAATTATTATTATTGTTAATTTTTCGGTTCCCCACCCTCCCTCACTCCCTCCTGGTTTTTCTTTTTTGTGTTTTCTCTCGATTATTATTATTATTATTATTATTATTATTATTATTATTATTATTATTATTATTATTATTATTATTATTATACCAATTGAAAAAAATCACATGATTGAAAACTAAGAGGAAAAAGTCCAAAAAACAGCTGCGATAATATTATAATTTTTTTAATGCCACGTTTTAAATCCCGTTACCGAAAAAAAAAAAAAATGGACTCCCAAAATGAAAATTATTCATTTCGACATGATAATAATAATAATGATAATGATAATGATGATAGTAATTTGATTCATTTGAAAGAGTTTTTAAGTCGTAAGAAAACCGTTGCGTAACGACGTAAATAAAAATGATTAAACATTTTTTTTTTTTTTTCTCATGTTCGTTTCGCTAAACATTCATGTAAATTGCATTTTTTTTTGGGGGGGGAAGAGAAAGGGGGAATAAGCTAATTAATGACGTAATGGCATCATCATTAAATTTAGATTTCGTTTATTATTATTATTTGTAATCATTTCGTTGAATTAATTTAAATAACAAAAAAAATGTTTTTTTCAGAGTCGCGTTCAGAAAGAAAACACATCACATCACAACATCACCTCAACCGATTTCGACGGGTACATTGATCTTGGAAAACAATTGAGCATACTTCACACACTATTGCTCGAATGTTTGGAAAAAATTGCACCCGTCAAATTGGCCAAAGTTGAAAAATTACCCAGAATATTGGAAAGGATTCGTTTGTCCTTGACTCAACCTCCTGGATATTTGAGACAACAAAGTTCGCCGCCGTTGACGGATAATAGAAACTTGTCGGAAACTTCGCAGGCTACTTATCAGTCCCTGCAGAGAAATATATTTAGGTAGGCGGTTTTAAAAAATGTGACAAAAGTTTAAGAGGAAGTCCCAAAAAAAATTAAAATAATAATAATGATAATTTTTTTTTTATGTAGATTTAACGACCCGACGTGCGGATCAACACCCAATACTAGTCCGTGTCACAGAAGCAACACGTCAACGTTGACAAATGAATGCCCAGTGGGAAACAATAATGGAAACACAAGATCTCCTATCGTGACGAGGGCTTCTACTCTTCCGAGGAATGCATTTCATCCATCTCCGAAACTTCAACCTGCTAAAATTACATCGGAATACAATAACGATTTGACTCAGAGTCCGGCTCGGCAAAGGTTCGCATGTGGAAGTCCGTGTCATCAAGCGCCCGTAAAACCAAAGAACAGGGTGATAACATCGTCTCTGACCAACGGTATGAACGGAAACGTTAACGGAAATGGTAATTTAGACGAAATGTCCGATTTGTTGCGGTACGCCGATGACGAAATGACGGAACCGGTTAACAACGGAAGTCAGATTTCCATTTCTCAATTGTCGAACGTGGCTTCATCTGGTTATCAAAGTTTCGCCTACAGTCAGAGTTCGAGTCCCGTCGACTTAACAATAACAAATAACAACAACAATAACAACAACAACAACGGAAATCATCCAATCGTCGTGAACAATAACATTCATGCCAACGCCGCGCCGTTGGCATTCACAAATCCTGTTTATCACATGGACCAAAGAAGACAGCAAGTTCGAAGGAGGCATTCTTGCAGTTCGTCGTCTGAAGAAAACGGTACCGGAGCGGATCTGTCACCGACTCCTTCGACTCCGACACCTCCGGTCAACAGGCGGTTTGCCGGTATCAGAGCTCCAAGAACAAATCCTCAATGCTCTCTTAGAAACAATTGGAGGGCGGTGACAAATCATCAACCCGCATCCGTTAATCATTCGAAACAAAATTTATTGGGTGAGTTTTTCCCTTCTTTCTTTTCGTCTGCTTCTATTTTTTTTTTAAATCATTAATGATGACGATTTTAATTAATATAGAACTAAATAATTTCATAGAGAATGAAATAAACAAATCAGGGTGTCCTAAATTGAGGCGACGACTTTCACTTGATTCAACGAGAGATATAACGGATTCGTCGGACGACGAAAGTTGTCAAAACCATAGAGTACACAGTAGAATCGGTCGTAGCATCGACCAATCACAGGTACGTACATCACTCTCACAATAAACTTTAATACTTCTTTTTCACTTGTCTAATGCCACGTTGTAAATTTTTTTACAGTACGAAAGAGAAATAGAACGATTGAAATCGAGCGTGGATTTTTTAAAATTTGACCAAACGAGCGAACACTCTGGAAAAAGTTCACCGGATCCTAGTTTAGATCGATCGGAGAGTAACATGAAGAGTATTATTTCAAGGTGAGTGACACCGTACCCGTTCTTCGTCGTCATGATAGCAAAGAGAGAGAGAGAGAGAGAGAGAGAAGAAGTATTAATTAAATTTTTTTTTTTTCTTTTCATAATAATCAGGTTGATATCCGTCGAAGAAGAATTATTGAGGGAACAACAAAAAATGTCGGACACTCTTACGCACAAGCAAAGAGTGATCGAAGCTCAGGAACATCAAATAGCAGTTTTAGGAGCCGATAACAATCGTCTTCGTACGGCTTTGGCCACGTTAACCGAACATTATGCATCCGAAGCACAAGACAAACGGATATTGGCGGAACTCAACGAATTGAAAAGTTCCTCCTGTTGAATCAATATCAGTATTACATATATATAAATATATGATAAGTTAATTTTTTTTTTTTTTTTTTTATATTAATTCTGACGAGCTTCACTTGTAGATAATAGCTTTAATCGTGTATAATTTTACTTTTTTATCATTATTATTATTATTTTTCCGGCCGTTTCGTGCGCTCATTTTGTTTATCGAATGAAAAAATTTACATGCGCGAAGCCTCCGAGATATCGAAAATCGAATCTCCTCCGGGTATTTACAAAAAAAAAAAAAAAAAATTCGTTGCGTACGGGCCACAGTTAAAAAAATTTTTTTTTTTTTGACGCATTTTTTTCATTTATTGAAAAGATAATTATTATTATTATTATTTTAAATTTAAACGTTACGCGTAAATGATAATTTTAATTAATGATACTATTATTATTATTATTATTATTTTTTTTTTTTTTGTAAAGAAAAGTAGCAAAAAAAATGTAAGAAGTGTGAAAGAAGTAAGCGAGCGAAAGAAAAGCGTGAATGAAAATGAATGAATGAATAAATGAATGAGTGAGTGAGTGAGCGGGCGATTGAGTGAATGGTTGAGTGAGCGAGTGAATGAATGAATGAATGAATGAATGAAAAAGAATTTTTGTGTTCAGTAATTTAAATGAAAAAAAAAAAAAATTGAAAAAATCGATTCGATTTAGAATGTGCACTAATTTTATTATTATTATTATTTTAATTAGAAATTATGCACGAGTTTTTTTTTTTATTAGAATATATAAATGTAAAGTGACTTATTATTATTATTATTATCATTACTAATACTTTTTTTTTTCGTTAAGGAAGTTTAAAAAAAAAATTACAAAAACTTATAATTAAAATTAAATTTGACTTTGTTTTTAAATTATCGCTCTGACGTCATTTAACGATCAAATAAAAAAATTAATAATGATGATAATAATAATAATAATAAATAAATAAATAAAAAAAATAAAATAAAAAAAAAACGTATTTGTATTTGTCACGTACTCTATGAATGTGTGTGAGTGTGTGTTTGTATATATATATAAAATATATATATCATAATAAATATTTAATTTAAATAAAATAATTTTTTTATTTATTTTTAACTTATCCTAACATTTGAATCCATAACCGGAAGTGGTGGTGACTCCTGTGATCCAATTACTTGGAGGCTAGATATAGGATGTTTTAAGAGCGGGAATTCTAGGATTGGATTTTTTAAGTTGGATGCCTTGAGGAAGCCCGAGGTGGAGTTCCAAGGAGGCGTGTTGGAAGGAACTTCTGAGCAAAGCGGATTCGGATCCGTGGGGTCTCCCGTTCCGTCTCGTCACAAACAAACTGAGAGGTTCGTCGGGACCGCTGACGGCCAGCATGACGGAGGAGTTTCTCGCTGAAGTGATCGCAGAGCTCTTCCCTCGCGTCGAACCGTTTGCGTTTCCCCCGGCGACGTAAACCGCGACCGCGACACCGCAGTGACGGAGGGGGAGGTTCGCCTCCTCCTCGACGCGGCCTCTAAGAGGCGCTCGGCTCCGGGCCCGAACGGCGTGCATTATCGCATACTCGGCAAGTCTGCCGGGGTGCTGTGTGCGTATCTCTCGGCGCTCTACACCGCGTGCTTCCGAGAGGCGACATTCCCGACACCGTGGAAAGAGGCGAACTTAGTTCTACTCGACAAACCGGGCAGGGATCCGACGACGCTGAGCGCGTATCGGCCGATTTGTCTTCTCGATGTGGAGGGCAAGTTGTCCGAGCGCGTGATCGCGTCTCAGATTGACGAACATTTACAGTCAGGGGAGGGAGGAACGACCTCTCTCCGAATCAGTACGGCTTCCGGGCTGCCCGTTCGACGACCGACGCACTCGACCGCGTGTGCGCCGGAATCCGAGACACACATCGCCGGGGCGGCGTCGCGATCGCCGTCTCTATCGACATTAAAAACGCGTTCAACACGGTACCTTGGTCCGCGATAAGGGACGGGCTGACGTCGAAGTTCGTGCCTGACTACTTGACGTCGACAATCGGTTCGTTCCTCTCGGAGAGGAAGATCGCGTACGAGAAACCGGACGGAACGACGGGAAGGGCGGATGTGTTCTGCGGCGTGCCTCAGGGATCGGTTCCAGAATCACTCCTGTGGAACATCGCCTACGACCGCGTCCTCACCCAGACCGTTCTTCCCGAAAGCGTATCGTTGACTTGCTACGCAGACGACACTCTACTCCTCGCGACCGGTCGCGGGTGGGCAGAGGTTTGCGAACGCAACGAAACGGGACTTCACGCGACGGTGGAGGCCATCCGAGACATCGGTCTCCGGGTGTCTCTGCCGAAGACGGAAGCTTGCGGGTTTCGTCGTTCGCGAAACCCGCGTCCTCGCGATTTATCGTTAACCGTGGACGACGTGAGAATCGGATTGGGAGGCTCGCTAAAATACTTGGGTTTAGTTCTCGATTCCGGTCTTTACTTCGGGGAACATCTGGCGCACCTCGGACCGAAGATCCGAGGTGTCAGCGCGACGTTAAGACGGCTGATGCCGAACCTGCGCGGACCGCAGGTCAGGGTCAGGCGATTATACGCGACGGTCGTTCACTCCGTGGCCCTGTACGGAGCTCCGATCTGGGCCGATCTGTCGGTTTCGGCAGCTCGGCCTCTTCGCGAGAAGGCAATCCAACTCCAAAAGGCGTCTCTGAACGAAGTGGCGATGGCGTACAGGGACGTCGCGGCAGAGGTGGCTTGTCTTCTATCGGGCACTCCCCTGTTCGATCTCCTCGCGATGGAGAGACTCGTCCTCTATCGCGAACGGGATCGCGGCGGGCCTAGAACAGCTCGTCATCGCACGCGAATAATTAACATTTGGCAGGAGCGATTCACGGACGGTAGGAAACGTTACGGTGGTGAAATAGTTAACGTTCTGGGTTCCCGAGTGGGGACTGAGTGGAGCGGGGTCAGGGAAACTTGTCCTATCGTCTCACCCAGGTCCTAACGGGTCACGCGGTGTTCGACTCGTACTTGGCGCGCATCGGCAGAGAGGAGACGGCGGAATGTTGGTTCTGCGGTACCCCCGAGGACGACGTCGAGCACACGGTTACGACATGTCCCACGTGGGACGAACTCAGGCAGCGGCTGGTCGAGGTCATCGGACCCGACTTGTCGCTACGTGGTTTAGTGAACGGGTTGCTCCGCGGATTTCGGGAATGGTCCGCAATCTCGCAATTTTCGGAAGCGGTCTTACGGACGAAAGAGGACCGCGAACGCGAACGTGAAAAATCCAGAGTTCGGCATCGTATGCTCCGGAAAATAAGAAGAAAGAAGAAAGGCGGCGATGAAGAGGAAGTCAACGCCCGATCATATGCGGAGTACGGCGACGAACTTACCTTCGTCGCCGGTAAATCAAGTTTTTTCTTATTTCTATCGTTTCTTGGAGGTTCGACGATCTCGGTCGATCCCTCGTCTGTCTTTTCCTAACATTTCCAATTACCCTTAGTATTAGAGGATGCGATCAACTAACACTTAACTTTCAAGTTTGCCCTTTTCAGGAGACGACGGTAAGTCTTTTTCCCCCTCCCGATCGCATTCTCAAGAAACAGGCGAGTTTCCCATCCCTTTTTTCCCATAGCGAAAAACCGGAGGACACTCCCGAAAGGGACTGCCGAACGTCCTTAGGAGGTGCGTTCTCGTCTTCGAGGTGGCGACGGAACGGAGACTAGGGCGAGTCTCCCACAAATCTAAACGTGTGAGCTTCCCGGAGAGGGGACTGACTGAAATGTAGGTACGACCTCAACGAACGTCTCCCCTTCTTCATATAAGCCGCGCTATTGCGACATGCTCAGGAGTTTTAGTGGGTATGGTTCTCGGTTAGGCTTTCTTTGAATTCCATACCGAGCCCCACACTCCTGATAGTAGTGACCCTGATAGTTCTGGCTCAAAAGGGCGGATGGAGCTCAAATCTAGGTTGTACTCCCGCGAGTGCACTTCCCTTCACGAAACGTCCAAGTGAGCATTTCCTCCACATTTTGCTTTTTTATTTTTGAAATGGTATTGATCCTTCACAAGCCTATAAAAAGTTGTGGGCCGTGTGATGAAGCCTTAATAGAACGGCAGTGTCAAAACTGGTTTGCAAAAATCCGTTCTAGAGCTTTTTCTTTGAAAAATGAGAAGCGCTATGGGCGTCCACTGGAGGACGATGATGACCAAATATGATCGGCCGATTCTGATCGACAGAGTTCGACAAAGGACATTGCAAAGAAACTAGATGTGTCACGTACATGAGTCCAAAACCGTCTGCGGCGTCTTGGGTACCAAAAGAAGTTTGACGCATAACCTTGGAGAACGTGAGTTAACGAGACGACTTGGTCTTTGCGATATGCTTCTTAAACACAATGCGAATGACCCTTTTTTGAAAGAATGGTCCCCGAAGATGAAAGGTTGTCTGACAACATTTCGGGGAAAAGATTCTGCTCTAGGCAAGGCGAGCATTCTAAATCTGACATTCACCAAAAAAAGGTACTGTTATCATTTTGGTGGGATTACAAAGGCATAGTCTATTTTGAGCTGCTGCCACGAAGTCAAACCATAAATTTAAAGGTTTACATTTGACAATTGACTAATTTGAATAATGTCATCCAAGAAAAACTACCCGAGCTAGCCTATAGAAAAGGAATTGTCTTTCACCACGATAATGGCAGGCCCCACACATCTTTAGCCACTGGACAAAAACTACTGGAGCCAGGCTGGGGTGTTATGCCGAAATCCATTTCTCCTGGATTAAAAAAAAAAAAACATTGGAATCCATAATTTAATTAAAAAATTAAGAGTAAGTTAAAAAAAAAATTTTTTTTTTAAGTCATCATGATTGGATTTACTATTACTGGAAAAAGTTTCCATAAAAATAAATAAAATTTATTTATAAACAAAACAATTTTTATCATTTCGATAAGAAGAAATTCCTTAAGGTTTTTATTTTTTTTTTCCGAGTGGTAAAAAAGAAATAAAAATTGTTGTATACTTATAACAAAGAATTATTACTTTCGGGAATAGAAAAAAAAAATCAGAAGAAAAACTTGAGAGGAGGTGGGGGAGGAAGGGGAAATAAGAAAAACTAAAACAGGTAAGTACGTTTGTTTGTTAGAATTTTTTTATTGGGGATCCCAAAGCAGCAGCAAATATTTTTTATTGTAGTTTTGCGTAGGAAAGGATTTTTTTTTCGGGAAAAATTTCGACGGAATTTTTTTGAAATAATAATAATAATAATAAAAATGATTTATTTAACACCCTGTAAATAATAATAAATATACACACACGCGGAACGCACGTACAAACAAATTTTACAATTGATTTAAGGATGTGGATTCTAATTCGGTTGCCGTCGTGTTCCGTACCGGATAGTAGACACAAGGTGCCAAACTAGTATTCATACCCGTCCTAATAGTTTTATTCCACTGTTTCCGGTAATCGTTATTGTAATTTCCGTTTTTAATAGACGCACTCCCGCCGAATCTTATTTGTGATCCGTGATTTCTTATCGAATAATTTCTATGATCACCGTTCGATATGAGACTCAAATCGTGAGTACCATCGGGTGATTCCCTACCGGAAGTACCCAAAAGTGATAAAAACGGAGAACAGCATAATTTTAAAAACAATCTTTTAAATTTTTCACCGAACGTTACGTAAACAATAAAATTAACCGATGAATTTATGGTGACGAGTAAATTACTCGTTTTGACCAATTGATCGTAAATGACGCCGTAAAAAGCTTCTAGAAGGTTGTTGACGAGTGCCAAAATGTTACAAATAAAAAAAATGATGACGACGCATAATAACATGGTCGCCAAACCGATTTCTTTTTTTTGCAATCTTGAAAGTCTCGCTCTTTCCAAATTAGCCTTACGAACCTGAAAGGATAAGAAAATTATTAAAAAACCATTTTTGGAAATTCTTTTGGCACCTTCGAAACCCACTACTTACCTGTCGGTATATGGCGGCATTCAAAACCGCCAAAAAAGCAAATGGGAGAAAATAAATAAAAAGTAAATACAACCAATACACGTAAACGGTTATGTACAATTCGTTTTGTCTCAGGGGTGACGCGCTTATCACGTACACCGTCGTATTATATTCCTTATCAAAATGTTCTTCTCTGCTCGCTTCTAAAAATCTCGGCAAATTATACAATGTTGAAAAAACAATTATGAGTATGACGTAGAGTCTTGCTCTCCCGTAGGTGCAAAGGGATCTCGCTTGAAGTGGATGACAAACGGCAACGAATCTTTCCAGCGTGACGGTCAACGTCAAATAAACGGTGACGGTTTGAGCTATGAGAGCAAGGGGAAACACGACCGGTGCTATGTGTGGATACACTTTATAAACGTACGTGAATAGTAGTCCGGTTTTATCGTGTATTGCCGGCAAACCGAAAAGTAATATGCTCGTTATTATGAGGACCGTATCGCATCGAGCCAAACCGATCAATAAATAATTTATCGATGATCTCATTTGCGGCCTTGATAATATTATCATTGATATTATGTTACCGAGTATGCCAAAAAAGGCAACAATGTTTAATAGAATTCCGTTTGTGTAAAAAGCGTATAAAACGGCGCTTTCATCGTCGTTGTAAAAAGTTTCATTTTTGAACGTATCGTTCCACACGTCGTCTATTATTGTCCAGTTGTTCATTTTTTTTTTTTTTTTTTATTCTTTTAATCTTACGTTCGAACAAACACTGTTTTTAAACCTTAATAATAATGATAATAATAGTAATGAGTCCGATATTGATAATAATAATAAATATAAATTAATCAAATTGAAATTGATTAATTTTATGTATTCACAAAGCGAACCGGGTTTATCGAGTCTTTTTGTTTTTTTCTTATGAAACATCACTGGATAATTATTATTATTATCACTATTATTATTATTAATTGATTAATACGACGATCAGTTAATATGCATTATTTTTTTTTCTTGTTTATCGCGAATTTGATTGAGAGTTGAATGATTTATCGCCTTGGATTTTTTTTTCATCATCACCTGAAAAGAGAAAAAAAAAAGAAAAAAAATTTCAAAAAATCTGTCGAAGGAAGAAGAAAGAGAAAGAGAAAGGGAGAGAGAGAGAAAGGGGGAGAGAGAGAAAGGGGGAGAGAGAAAGGGGGAGAGAGAGAAAGGGGGAGAGAGAAAGAGAAAGATGAAAACTTTGTTTCAAAACAAAATTTTTTTTTTTTAAGTCACGAGATTGTTTGTTTCGTTTTATTTTATTTAACTTGTATTAATTTTAAATGGCTGACAAACGAGGAAAAAAAATTTTTTTTTAAATTTAATTTTATTAAAAAAAAAAAAGAAAAAGTTTTTATAAAAGTATTCTTGTTTGTTTGTTTGTTCGTTTGTTATTAATTAGTTTTTCTATTTTTTTTTTAATTAAACATAAATCGTTGAAAGATTTTTTTAAAGTGTTTTTTTTCTTTTGCGGCAAAACGACAAATTTGAAATTTTTACACAATTTGTAGTTGTTGTTTGTCTTGTTCTTCTCAGAATAAAATAATTATATGTTATCGATTTAACTATTGATTTATTATCGATCTATTGTGCAGTTATTCATTTACCTTTTTATAAAGTGAACGTTTAAAAATGCGTTTTATTATTATTTTTTTACTTACGTTAACTATCGTTACTGCGGTAGGAACAAAATTAACTAACGATGATGATTTCTCAGGTATAAAAAATTACACTGAAAGAATCGTTATTATTATTATTATTATTATTATTATTATTATCATTTTTTAATTAATTTACTCGTTTTTTTTTTTTTTTTGTTTGAAGAGCTTTTCATTTACCGAACAACGGATCTTTTATACCGTTGTAAATCTTTCGCAGAAGCCTTGCACGAAGAAAATTTAAGATTGAAAAGAGAAATTAAATTAAGAAAAAATAAATCGTATGAAAGAGAAGAAAAAGAGAATAATGGAAACGATAAAGAAGAGGAAGAAGAAGACAAAAACAAAAGAATAAATCCCGGTAATATTTAATTTTCATTCAATAAGGTTAAAAAAAAAAAAAATGTAATGGAATCCGATTCGTTTTTTACTATATATAAGTAAAATTTCAAAAAAAAAAAAATGTAATTGTTTATACGAGAAAGTTATACAAAAAATTTAACTAAAATTTTTAAGGCGTTTTTTTTTCACTTTTTTTTTTTTTTTTTTAAATGGATTTCGTCGTTTTAATGAAAAATTTTTACTTACTTTTTTTTACAGAAGAATTGGATAGACTAATAATTTCGAAAAAAATTCGAAGAACGAAAAGAAAAGATCATTGCTCTCGTGGTACAATAAACTCTTACGCATGTTCTCCTCATTGTTTAACTAATCTTATAGGAATGTGCGGTTTTTCACTTAAAAAGCTTTGCCTATGCTAAAAAAAAAATATTATTATTATTATATAATTACAATTGTAATTAGTAGTCGCGTTAATAGTTAAATAATAGTTTTGACAAACTACAAAAGTTTCACGACAAAATTATATTATAAATAAAACGTAATAAAGCATATATATATATGTAATTAATTAAGTTTCCATTTGACGTTTTTCATCCACCCACGCATCCACGCACTCACACGCACTTTTAACCTCGAAAGAGAAAAGTTAACATTTGGTTTCTTTTAATTTACCTCTCCCCCCCTTCCTCCCGCCTCCCCAACATTGTAAACTTTTCATTAACTTTAAATCAAAACCGAGATACGATACTGCGGTTTTGCATCATTTGCGTCGCGCACGTACGGTAAAATCGTTATTTATAAATATTTTTAAATGAAACAAAAAAAAATTTCTTTTATTTTTAATTAATTAAAACTCGGATAAAATTTTTGTAATAGTTATGAGAGCAAAAGAAAAAAAAGTTTTTAATTCGAATACCGGAAACGGTTGTTATTATTATTATTATTATTTTTTAAATGAAAATAATAAACAAGTCATTTTATACGAAGAAAAAAAATTATGCACTTAATATTTGAATTCATATTATATAAAGTCTGCGGATAATAATATTTTATTAAAAATAATAATAATAATAATAAACCGGAAATGACATCATTTAATAAATCATTAAATATTTAATTAAATCCATAGAAAAATAAATCATTTTGACCTCATTTCCGCCGTCCCCCCTTCCTATTAAAAAAAAATTTCACTTTCGAATTGTTAGTGGGGTAGGTCGGACATAAATAAAAAAAAATTATTAATAAATAAATTATTTAAACAAAAAATAAAAAAATAAATAATAAAAACGATGGAAGGGGAAAGAGGGAGAAATATTTACTGTCGTAAAAAAAAAAAAAATTCAACAGCAGATGCTGACGTAATTTAATTTTCATTTTCATTTTTTTTTTAAACGACTGAAATGAAAAAATTTTACCCGGAAATGAATTCAATTGTAATTTTTTTTTTCATTACGCAAAAAGGTTTAAAGATGTAAACTTTTTACCATTATTATTATTATTATTATTATTATTATTTTCATTCATTATCACGACAATTCGTTTTAATATTTGTATCGGAGGTTTTTCCAGCATTTATTCCAGGTTTCAACCCGCTGATTCCTGATAGGAATAAATGCCTGAATATCAGTAATGATGCTGATGCCTGATGGATAATAGGTTTCATCATCATCATCATCATCATTATCATCATAATTATATTTTTTTATGCAGTTTCCCTGACACGGCAAAAATATCAACGAATCCTTTACACATGTACAATAAATCAAAAAAACTTTTATTTCCTGTACGAAATTTAAAAAAAAAATTATTATTATTATTATTATTATTACGATATTCATTCGAGTTTTAGTTACGTTCTTTTAATAAGGAATCTATTTACACTTCAATTGTTCGACCTTTTTCCAACAATAATAATACTCGTGGCAAAAGACTAAAAGGAAAAATCTCGTAAATGTATGAGCTTTCATAAAAATGTATTTTATTGTTAATTAATTTCTCATTTAATTTTTCTGTTTTTTTTCCTTTCTTGTTTTTTTATTAAAGCGTGACAAATTTACTAGTATCATCGCGTCTTTTACCACGTGACATTTTTTCTTTATTTTCTTCTTCTCTAAAATACGACATCGATGACTAAAATCCGACTGGGAAGCAAAAGTTTAAGAAAAAAAATTATTTACATTTTCGTTTCAACGCTAAACGAAGAATTAAAAAAAAAAAAACAAAATTTCTGACTTATTATTATTATTATTATTATTATTATTATTATTATTATTATTATTATTATTATTATTATTATTATTAAAATCGAAAACTCGAGAACGAGGTTAAAAGATAAAAGTTTTGAATAGTAAAAGTCTATTTCCGGTTTTTGTTGTTCTCTATTTGCACACACTTTTAGTTTGCGCAAAACTTTTGAAAACTTTTGTTTGTTTATTTTGTTTTTTTTTTTTTGAAGGGGGAGGGGGAAAATTTATAAACAAACAACAAGAGAAAAGAAAAAAACACCGGTAAAAATAGTAATAGTAATAATAATAATAATAGATTTTTCGTTCAATAAAAAATTTTTTAAATAAATTTAAATATTTGAAAAATTTTTCTTTTAATAATAAAATAAATAATTCGATCGGATTTAAATCGAAGCTGAAGATTTTTTTTTTTTGAAAAAAAATTACAATTAATTGAGAATAAAAAAAAATATTATCATTATTATTATTATTATCATTATTACGTTTTTCAAAGGTTAAAAAAAATATTTTGTCGATCGAATTAAAATTTTGAAAAAAGAAAAAAAATTTTTTTTGAAACATTTAAAATCCCTTTTTAAAGTTTCTTTTCTTTCTTTTATTTTATTTTTTACTTTCTCTCTTTTTTATCCCTTCATTGTTCCCCCCCTCCCTCCACATCGAACCTCCCCTCGGGTTCCCCAGTTTTCCGGTTCGATTTTTATACAAAAAAAAAATAACTTTCTTATTGTAATTCCTTTTGTCAAATATTTAAATTTTTTTTTCTTTACTCGAACGATGTTTAAAAATAATAAAATGGCGTTTGTGAAGTGAAAATAAAAAAAAGAAAATTTTTTTTAATTTTTATAAAATTCTTAATGCGATTTAAAAATTTTCTGCGTTTTTTAAAGTGTCAATAGACAAACGTTTTAAAATTTCACCACTCGTAGCGCTACATTCCTATCATTTAACTCTACGTATTCGATGTAATTAAAGTCACTTACGTACCTTCTCATTAATGTCATAGAGTAACAATTATTTTTTTTTTATTTAATTAAACATATTCGTATCATGTGTAAAAAGACTCCCTTTTTTCACCACAATTTATTTATTTATTTTGTCACAATTTAAAAAAAAAACTGTATAACGGTAAAATTATTAACGACCCAAAATAAATTCAATTTTTAGTCTGTCACGTGTTTCCGTTAAAAATTTTCACGCGAATAATAATAATAATAACAAAGTGTTAAATATTACATAAATAAAATTATTTAAAAGAAAGAATTTAATTATTGTGGATTTCAAAACGTTTTTTTTAAATTCATAAATTTTTTTCGCGCCTTTTTTATTTTTTTTATTTTCTCATAAAACCTAATTAATATTTTAAAAAAAAAAAAAAAACCCGTTAAAGGTTAAAAAAATCTCTCTAGGCTATAAAATAAATAAATAAAGAATTCAGGAG